TTACAAAATCAACCATGTGATTAAAGTGTCTTTCACAAGCATTTTAACAAAAATTTTTGCTTCTAACCTTTAATTGATTTTAATAGAAAACTATCCCTGCAATACACAATTCAAATACAGTCCCTGTCGTCTCACCACCGAAACCTGAAACATGTTATTAGAACATGCTGTCATTTCCACTCTGAATGACAGGTCTTAAACTAGATAACTAGTTAATCTGATGTTTTTCTGATGCTGATGCTTTCTCATCACAGGCTTCACTGCGCAGCCATCATCAACACCAGTATGGACAGCTTTGTAGTTCCACATCAAGTCACACAGTATCTGACAACAAAAACCTTCTTGGTTAAAATAAAATGAGACCCTGAGTCAGAGATCTTCATTCCCCCGAACAGCTCCACAGCTGCAGAGCAGGACAGGGAGGGTACTGATGAATGACTCACATCGCCACCTTGTGGTAGTGATGGGTACGACTGTTTACTGGTTTTACTGAACCGGTGACAGATATAACAAGGGCTTATATGCTGTAGTGCTGGTCATTCCGACTCTTGCCAGAGATGATGATGGAGCTTTCCATTCCTGCAGCATTTTTTTCTAGTAATATTTTAATTTACTGATTTAAATTTTAATTTCTAAAGTTCATATATATTTATATATGTATATATTTGCTATATTTCCATAAGGCATTTCTTTGGATTTACTCAGTATGATTTTGGAGAATTACCTATGAGGAGTGAGGTGTACTGATCACGTATTTTAGACCCTACTTTTGCTGTCCACATTGTAATTTCTGCACCTTTAGATGACCTTTCTCTTGGTGTCCACAATTTGACACGTTTCATATTATTTAGATAAGTGGAAAGATTTTCTCCTCTCAAGCGGTTTGAGTTTTTTTTCTTTTTTTTTTCCAGAAAGTATGGGTGATTGAGGTTAAACCAATCCTTGTTGATCACTTCAGAAATATGTTTTGAGCCTCACGCTTCGTCTTGTCACCTGTGAGGACGCAAGGAAGACTTTGCCACTTAAAACCCCTTCAGGTGACTCCTTCAGCCATTGCATGACTGCACAACCCTGACGCATCTGCAGAGGACAAGACTGCGGCAATGGAAAGTATTTCAAATGAAAGTGACTTTTGGCAATTTAACGAATCCTGGCGAAACTCAAGTCTCGTTAACGGGACCGGTTTGTTGAATCAGACGAACCCTCTGAAGCGGAATGAAGAAGTGGCGAAGGTGGAGGTGACTGTGCTCGCCCTGGTGCTGTTTCTGGCGCTGGCGGGGAACCTGTGCGTCCTGCTGGCCATCCACACCACCAAGCACAGCCAGTCTCGCATGTATTACTTCATGAAGCACCTGAGCATCGCTGATCTAGTTGTGGCGGTATTTCAAGTTCTCCCTCAACTTATCTGGGACATTACATTTCGGTTCTATGGACCGGACATTTTGTGCAGGTTGGTGAAATACCTACAGGTCGTTGGGATGTTCGCCTCCACTTACATGTTAGTTTTGATGTCTGTCGACAGGTGTTTGGCAATCTGTCAGCCTCTTCGTTCTTTGCACAGGAGAAAAGACCGTTTTTATGTCATATTTTCCTGGGTCCTGAGCCTGCTCTTCAGTGTCCCGCAGATGTTCATTTTTTCCCTGAGAGAGGTTGGCTCGGCCGGATCAGGAGTGTATGACTGCTGGGGCGACTTCGTGAAGCCTTGGGGTGCCAAAGCTTACATCACATGGATCAGCCTCACTATATATATCATCCCGGTGGCAATTCTGAGCATCTGCTATGGGCTCATAAGCTTCAAAATATGGCAAAACTTTAAACTGAAAACCAGGCGGGAGCAGTGTATAAGCCTGACGCCCAAAACCTCCAAAGGCAACACGCTGGCCCGAGTGAGCAGCGTCAAGCTCATCTCCAAGGCAAAGATAACCACAGTGAAAATGACTTTTGTGATCGTCGTAGCTTATATCGTCTGCTGGACCCCCTTTTTCTCTGTTCAGATGTGGTCTGCGTGGGATCCAGCAGCGCCCCGTGAAGGTAGGTTGAATTTTAAAGTTTAATATTATACAGAGTGCGCGCCAGTTCTGCGTAATTGTAACTGTAAACTGTTTACTCAAAATGTCATTACGCCTCTGAAGCATTTTGAAACACTTAACAGACTACCCATCTTTTGCCTCCTTTCACATATTCTCCGGAGAATATTGACCAGAGGAAATGGATGGAGAGTCCTTCTTGCGCATCAGTGCTCTTTACGCACGAGGATGCCGGCGCTTGCTTTCCCAAAGGGAACAAAAACACAATTTTGAGATGTGTTTATTCTGTTTTTCCCTTTAAAGTGGGTTGGGCACTGGAGTTTTATGGCTTACTCATGGGTTCTGCTGTTTAGTATCCAGTAAGGGTGCGGTGCGGAGTAAACAAAGTGCAGGTTTGACACTAGAATGGAACATAAACAAAAATGTAGATTTTTATTTTACTACTTCAAGTGTCTGCTGAAAGCACAAATGCCTGGACTTGCATACACACCCAAATATGTGACATTTGGGTGTTGCAATTTTAACAGAAAACTATCCCTATAGTAAACTGTTCAAATACAGTTTGCATTATTAGTGTGAAACACATTATTAGAACATGCTGTCATTTTCCCACTGAATGACAGGTGTTACACTAGATAACTAGCTAATCTGGTCTTTCTCATGTTTGTTTACATTAGGAAAGACAGACCTATATTTTGTTTTCTTATATATTCTTAGAATATATACAATAATGCACCTGTCCCGTGGTAAGAAAAATTGTGATAAAGCCTTCAAAGTGAAAAAACTACATACAAAATTTTCCAAGTTTCCTCTGACCCAACTCAGAGACCGACTGACGGCTAATCATTAATCAAATTAGTGTGCGCCACCACGAGCCAAGCAGCTTGTATTTGTGCCTGTGGGGCACGTTGAAGTGCGTCGTTGACATTTAACCACAATAGGCCAATAAGCAGCCATCTACTGTATGTGGTCCCTATATTTATCGATCCGTTAGGCCATGGCCACACCCATATAACAACAGACTGAAAAAGATTAGAAAGATTTAATAAGCCAATTAAACTTCACAATGTAGCCTATTTGCACAGAGGCTCCTTTCATTGTTTCATTACAGTTATGTAGAGCTAAATAAAGAATTTAATTAATAGCTTTTGTGAAAAGTAAAGATTTAACAGTAATTTGTTTATTTGGTTAGGGACATTTGTTGTATTGAAAAAAGTGAAGGGTAAAGGGAGATAGAAGGGTAGAAGACTTTGCACAATAATATGTCCTTATCCAATATGTGAATGAAAAGGAACAATTACCCC